ACCTCTTCCTTTCCTTTAGTAATAAGTTAAATAGTCCAAGTTTTATTTAAACGTATTTATTKACAGAAGTTATGACATAGCAAAACTCTTATGAGATACCTCGTAAAATTTTTATTAAATTTGAAAAATATTGAAAAAATGATTTGTGTAGACCACTTCTCTCGTAAACATGATCTCTAGTCCAGAATCTCRGTGTGATCCTCGRGAGYCCAGRGGTAAAATTCTGTCGCTCGTTTTAACCCTGGGTTCCCGAGGATGAGAACCGTAGGCTTGGGGAAACAAAGTTCTATAATTTTAATCAAAATCATTAACATGAACAATAATAAATGGCTAAGATTTAACAGTGTCATTTCCACAGAGTGGCTCTTCTTCCACTGGATTCCAATTGGGAATTTAGAACTTGATTTTTACGGAGGGAGGAAAACCGTTGAACCCGGAAAACCCTAGAAAAATTATTTTAAAAGAATCTAATTTGCTTTTATATCCGGGTTATAATTGTAAAAAGAAGGTTTTCTATAAAAGTAAAAGATATGTGCATTGTCAAATTACGTGCAGAGTGAGAAGCTCATGTGATGTACAGCTGTCTTATCCACTGTCACATTCAATAGTCCCTTTCACAGTTCCCTGCGACATCTTGAAAGGTAGCCGTGCCCTTGCATCGAAGCGAGACGAGACGAGACATGTAAATAATTGTCCAAGGTGTTAAAACAGGTCTCTATCATTGCAAGCTCACCGTTCGTCTCTCTTCGATGCAAAGGCACGGCTGCCTTTCAAGATGGGCCACTCATGCAGAGCAGAGTTTAATCAGCCAATCAGAATCGCATTTTATTAGATACAGTACAAATGGTCTGGCCTTGCGGCACGTAATGACGGATGAAAATGCAGGCCAATCATCCTGACTGGCTAGTTTTAGTGAAGGTTCAGCTTTCGATCATTTCTATATTAAATTACTATATTATACAATTACTAGCCACCTCACTGGCTTCATTTCAAAATGCAAATTCATATTTTATTAATTTATTAATTTAGTTTATTTGAAATACTTTATTTATTTAGAGCGGTTTCAAACGCTCAACACTGAGCGAATGACCTAAATATTTCTCTGTGTGTGTCCCTGAACTGTGGGAACTCTTTTCCGCCTGCTACACGTACTGAATCATCTCTTTCGTTATTCAAGTCTAAATTGAAAACTTATTTATTAAAACCTGCGTTTAATAACTAGTAACTATGTATCTTTTTTTCTCTCTCTTTACAATCTCTATATTTTTGCACTTAGAGCATTCTTTTTTTTTAATAAGCGCATTTTAAATGTATGTTATTATTATTAAATGTATATTATTTACCAAGAAGGTCGGTTTAGAAGCGGACTTCCTACTATTTTTATAACAAACACGACATATTAAAATCTGAAGATGGCAGACGTTACTGCCGAAACATGTCAGTTAAAACTAAGAAGTGTCGTGTTTTTTTTATGAAAATATTTAGGTTGTGATGTCAATGGCTGCAATCTTGGTCTAAACCTAGACACCCTGCTGCGACAGACCCCTGTGACCTCATCTGCGAATGACAACGCGCTTAAATTATCCAATTTTTCTATTGGTTAATAGAACAAAAGACTATCGTGACGTCATCAGATGATGAAGAGAGAGTTGATTACATCTTCGTTTTCTCACTCTGATTTTCAGAGCTGATTGGCTTGTATTTTTTGATTTTTCTGACGTAAAGTAAAATAGTAAGCTTAACTAACTTATCTAACTTAACTTAACCATATTCTCATCTTTGCATCACAATTACCGCTACCTAACATCTACTTCACCCCAACCTGCTCTCAGTCTGACCTCTAGCTCAGCTGGTAGAGCATCGGTAGTACAATTCCGAAGGTCGTGGGTTCGATTCCCAGCGAGGTCGGAAATTAATTTTTCCGAATTTAACTACAAGGGCTTTCGCCCGGAATAACCTCGTTCCCAAGCACTATAAGTTATCTATATTTCTATATCTTCATGTATTTCATAAGTGCTATGCGGTCCACATATTCTTAACTTATCTAACTTAGGTGACGACGTCGACTATTTAAACAGTTACACTAAATTCTCTCTACTATGTATTTTGTTTACTATTTTTATGGGCCAAGTAAAATCACTCCAGGTTATCCGAATCCCGTATTCGGACGTACCCCTCCCTGATGTCCCATTGAGTTGATACCCTGAGCCAGCGTCATTAGACATTAGCGGTTAACCTCATGAATGATAATGGCGGGTGTCTGCATTTTAACGTAAAATTCTTTCTGCAAAAACTATCAAATATCGCCCCAAAAAACCCACATTTGGGTAGATTTGATTTTATCACGCTTTATTTATTTTCATCCATGTGATGCAAGAGAAAACATACCTTAAAGTCGTCCTTCTGGGCAAAGTTAACAGCGGTAAAACATGTCTTGTGACTCGGTACATAACAAGAGCCTTCAGTGAGGAGACGCCGTCTGTAAGTATTGCAATAAATACAATACACAATCATAGGGAATTTCCTTTCCTAGGGCTTGCAACTTCAAATAACTCGGCCGTAACTAAGCTTAATTTGAATAGGCTCCAAAGCCAGGATATACGGTTGATCGGAGCTGTAATTTGTGCTTATTTATACGAATAATTTGAGAGAAATTTTTATGACAAATTAAGGGCTCTCAGGGAGATTATTTCGAGACGAAGCTTTTTCGATTCATTGTTCCTCGACAATTGTCTTTTTGATTGACTCCTTGTATCATTCATGGCCTGTAGAGTCAGCATTATTTGTATTGTTCAATTTTGTAGCATTTTTCGATGTCATTCTAGAGTCAAAATCTAAGGATTTGAGGTTTGTTAATGGATTTAGTTCTCTCTGGGTGTCAGATGCAAAGTTGTATAATTCTTTGACATCTTTATCACTGCCACACATAGCATTACAATATTTCATACTGGTGTTATTTTGTTCATTCTTGTGTGTATAACAATGCAGTGATTAAAAACGATTTCAACGTTTCCGCACTCAAGGGCTGTAAACATAATGAGCTTGAGCGAAAAAAAAAATGCTTGCTAATTTAATAATGGTCTCTACTTCTATTTTAAAGTTAGTACTTTATGTATTTTGAATTGAAGTAGCTAGCTCTCATCTACTTCTTAAGGGATATTTCCATAAGGATAAAATAAAGAAACTTTCTTTTATAATCAAATATAATTGAAAATATATTCAACAAAATTGATATTTTTTCATAAATTTGTAATCGTCTCCTTTACAAATTTATTCACAATATTTATTTTGAAGCCAATCGATTTTACTTGAGTATCCTTTGAGTGACTTTCAAAAGATTGCATATATTGTTAGAAGCAAAATAAAAACTTTTTTGTAGTGAAAACCAGAGCTTTCAATAATATTTGTAGTAGGCAGTTAGTCCTAAAAAGTAGGGGGCTGAAGCCACTGTTGTTTGTATATAACTTTATTTGGCAATGAATTAATTTTTTGTCAAAATAGCCTGCAGTTTAAGGTGAAGTATCCGGCGATGAACCGCCGGTAGCCGCCTTTTATTGAAAGCTCTGGAAAACATGTATGATCAAATTGAAAAACCAAAAAGAGAGAAATGAAAGAAAAACGAGACATGAATAAAATATTATGACAAAGTTTTATAAATTGGAACAAAACTTGATTTTTTTTYTTCAGACTATTGGAGCAGCTTTTTGTAGGAAGGACCTTTACATTCAAGGGAAAAACCTTTCACTTGCAATATGGGTAAGAAAGCCAGGACACTCAAACCAAGAACAAACACTTCGAGTTTTTTTTTCACTTGAAATGATCCCTTGATCCAATTAATTGGAAATAAGATTTATTTTAATTACTTATTGTATTTGAATTCAATGCTTCATTTTAGAGGGTTTGAAACAGTAAAAAGTTTAGAAAATAATATTAAACCTGAAAAAAAACTGGAAGTGTTCACAGTGTGTCCTCACTGTAATTTATAGCTAAGCTAACTAGTTGACTATTTTACATTCAGATATTTTACTATGTTGAGTGTTTGTATTACAATTTTAACAACCTACTGTTTCCAGGATACGGCTGGTGCTGAGCGATACCAGGCAATGAGTGCAATGTACTACAGAAGTGCAAGAGCTGCAATCATTTGCTATGGTATGTATATATAATTAATATATATATATATTGGTTCCAGAAAATATCAACTCCCCCACAGTTGTAGAGTCTTTTTATAGAAATAGAATTCTCACTCATTTCACTGTGAATTATGGATATTGTTGTAAATTGGTTAAGATTTCTATATTTTTTTAAGAATAAAAATAGAGTCAGCAATACCTCTATTAAGTGGACCTCTTATTAAGCATACACCATGTACCTCATTTCTGGCTCTCTGTTACCCATCAAAATAACCAGGAAGCTAGTCAAAGGTTTGACCTAAGACAAGTTCCAATTCTAGCTGGACACTTTCCAGTGACCTGCCATTAATTTTAGCTTGCAAAGTTGTCCACTAAAAGAGGTACAGAACCTCTTATATCATATTCATGGTCGTATATGAATTTTTATTGTCTGCCAGATCTCACAGACGCTGGAAGTTTTGATAAAGCAAAGTTCTGGGTTGATCAGTTAAAAGAAGCAGAGCCTGTAAGTGTTTTATTTTTTTTATTTTTCAGCTTCTTTCTGTCTTTTTTTCAGTTTTTAAAAGAAGTAGTAATAATATCTAAATTACAGCTTCATTGAATAAATTATTACTACATCTATCAGAGTGTCTTGTATTATATCTATTTAAAAAAAAAGGTTGTCATTGCCAAAGGCATTCCAAGATCAAAGAATAGCTGGCCGGAATGACTTGTGTGGTTCTCATTATTACATGTATTCTCTTCAAAAATGTTGGTTACTGCTGTTTGTAGTTAACAAAAGCATTTCAGAGACCTCTATTATCTTGTGTTTAGGCTGCGTTCATAATATATGGCAGAGGGGGAGCAGGTGAAATTGAAGGGGGAACAGGAAAATTTTGGTAGGAAAAAGAGGGGGATGGGCAGATTTTTATCAGAAAAGGGGGGGGGGATGCACAACTTTTGGAAGGAGCTACAAGCCTTGCTGAGAGGGGATTGTAATTCTTTGCATGACTTTTAAGGGGGGTATAAGAATTATTCTGGACATTTCAAATTTTCACCTGTCCCCCCCCCCCCCTCTGCCTTACATTATGAACTCGGCCTTAGTCGTATGCCCATAATTCCTTCTTAGAATGACCTATTACCTAGCGCTATCTCATTTGGCTCTCATTTTGGCTCTCATTTGGCAAATACTGTATTATACAACCAGTCTCTCCACAAGGGGGTCTCTTGCATGAAGTTCACCCCACACATATGCACCCCATTTTCAAACTGTGACCATGACCTTATCTGGCCATTAATTTTTCATATTAAAATTTTTAATTGGGGCTCTTCTTATTTTGAATCTTGTGATGATGATGAAAGTGATGTTGGCTATGCTTTTTAGGAATGTAGGATTTATTTATGTGGAACAAAACTCGACTTGATAGAAGAAGCTATTGCCCCAAGAGAGGTTCAAACCAGAGCAGTTTCAAACTATAGTAGAGGTGGGTTTTACTAGAGTGCCCTCACTAAGCCTGTGAATAATATTTAGTACTAATTAATAGTAGTTCATACAGAATCCTTTGTTTCCTATTGTTTGATTATCACTATTTAGTACTAACTAAAAATTAGTATTTGTTTCACGGGTTTAGTGCGAGCACTCTATTACTGTCTGGATTTAGTACTTTAGTAAGAAGGAGGAGAGTCCAGAGATACATTATAATAATTTATTATACTTACTTTTTGGTCTCAAAGGAAATAGTTATTTCCTAGGGAAACATGATCCAGACTCAGAGAAAAACTTAAACTAACCATTTAATTGAAACCTGTTTCAAATACACAGATATGGGTGGAGATGCTTTTGAGACATCAAGTAAAAGAGGAACAAATGTTGGTAAGAAAGAAAAACTAAAAGTTGTCATTTTCAGGGGGGGGGGAGGTACTCTTGCCCATTTAGGGTAGGGATGTGCCACTGAGCCCTCTGAACCCTGGCCCTGTTCCAGAGTAAAATTGCTGAAATTCAGACCCTGTTCCAGAGCAAGATTGCTGAAAATCATACCCTGTTCCAGTATTGTGAAAATGGATACCCTGTTCCAGAGAGGAGAGAGTGTGATTTCATATACCC